CAGTCTCCCAAGTAGCTGGGATTACAGGCGCGCACACTACCATACCCAGGTCATACTCCGTAGAATTTGGAGAAAAGAAATAGTCATGAATTTTATAATTATCTCTATTTAGGAAGAAGGAGGAGGAGAAAAAACGAGAGGTATTAAATAATCCAGTGAAAATGAAGAAAATCAAAGAATTGGTAAGTAGTGTATCAGATAAGCACCAAGAGCATCTTTTAGCCATATAACGTGAGAACCTCTCTCCATTTACTCTCAACTTACCGGGGGAAAACAGAATGGCCTCTAAAACTTTTGTCTTTTAGAGACCATCTCGTGGCTATTTTATGTAATCTTTTTCTTTTCTTGAGACGGCGTTTCAATCTTGTTGCCCAAGCTGGAGTGCAATGGTGCGATCTCGGCTCACCGCAACCTCCACCTCCTGGGTTCAAGTGATTCTCCTGCCTCAGCCTCCCTAGTAGCTGGGATTACAGGCATGTGCCACCACGCCCGGCTTATTTTGTATTTTTAGTAGAGATGGGGTTTCTTCATATTGGTCAGGCTGGTTATTTTATGTAATCTTAATTTGGTAAGCTTAATTAAACTTGATTTTGGTTGAAAGTCTTTTGGGTGGGAGAATGCACCATGTGATGTCATTTTTCCAGAAAAAGAGTGTGGGCTAAGCGTGTGGAAAGCATTACCATTCAGTGTGTTCAAGAGGTTGGAGGATGCCCTCAGTCATGGTATAAAGCTTCTAGGGGCCAGGCGTGGGTGGATCACCCGAGGTCGGGAGTTCAAGACCAGCCTGACCAACATGGAGAAACCCAGTCTCTACTAAAAATACAAAATTAGCCGGGGTGGTGGCGCATGCCTGTAATCCCAGCTAAGGGGAGGCTAAGGCAGGAGAATCGCTTGAACCTAGGAGACGGAGGTTGCAGTGAGCCAAGATCGTGCCATTGCACTCCAGCCTGGGCAACAAGAGCGAAACTCTGTCTCAAAAAAAAAAAAAAAGGCTTCTAGGGCCCACTTATTCACATGACATATTATGTAATTGTGTCTTGGATTAGTTGGTAAGGAAAATTAAAGCTTGACCTTGCAGTTCCTGACTGCTTTCAATGGAATGGGAATTCCTTTGACACAGAATGGAAACTCCTAGGCAGTGGTTTTGGTGACTGTTTAAAAACACAAATTCTTAGTCTCACCTACCAGATACCAGTTCAGTAGTTAGGGTTCTTACTGCACAGCCTGGGTTAAGACCCTTCCCCTGGTGTGTTGACAGGGAACCCCCATAATGTCCTGGACTTCTGTAGACCCAGAGGCATGGAGTCAGGCAGTTTGTGC